GAGCTGATTGAGAGAGTTTTGGCAACATTAATTTAGGATCTGCACCTTAAGTAGTCAGGACGCACGGTCAGTCTGGAAGATTAGGCTATCTATTTTCTAAATGCAAACTTACCAGGAAGTTAGCTTGTTTATATTGCAGGAGCAGGAAAAAAACCTCAAATCAAACACTCAGCAAACCTCCATTCAAACACTGATCCTTCACTTGCTGACAGCCGCATGAAACAGCCATACCTTCGGATGTCTCCTGGTTTAATTGGCGATGGACTAGGCTCAACACCTTTCTTCTTGCCATCCAATCTGTTCCCAGAGCCAGAGAATGCCTATGTATACACGAGTTTTAATTTAACCGGATCTTGTATTTGAAAGCACACTGCACGGGGATACTATATTCTGTAAAATCTTACCATAATTTTTATATAATTATTTGATGCAGCATGTTTCTTTTTGGTACATAAACACTGATGAACACTGGGTTTGGGAGACCAAAACACACTCCTATTTATATACTGGCCTTTTAAGGACAGCAAGTCATGCTCTTACCAGCTGTAAGCACCATAAAACATTCACAGATACTTGCCAGTTAAATGAAGAGCACCTCTAAGAACAGGTACTAGTATTTTGCAGTTGTTTGGGACAACTTCTCCTCACCATTTTACAACATTCAAAACCAAGCAGAAATAGGAGACTTACACGAAATCCTATGTCACTCACGTATCCACTATGGTCTGCTTCAACATCCTGTGAGGAGAAAAACGGTTACTTCATTGTATTCATGTTGTGATATGCAGAACACATGAAAACAGTTCCACCGATTTCTGACCAAACAGAACTTTAGACTAACCCATTTCCAAAATCAACAGTTGTTAAACAACCATCTCCTAAGTAACACAAGCAAAAGCATCTGTTTGTAAAGTTTAGTCTTAAGAAATTGTTTCAGGGAAAAAAAAAAAAAGTATGCTGATGCTCACTGCTCCATCACAAGCAAGGCTGACATCTAGAGAATGCATTTTTCAATTATAGAAGCTTAACTTACTGTGGTCTCTTCCTGTTGTGCACTTCTTTCTGGTTCTTTGTACCCCAAAGGAGCATCAAAATCCACCTATTTACATAAGAAGAATGAAAATAAGCGTTTTTTCTTTCAATCATTAAGCTTTATAGTACTATTCCTTAAAACTCTACAAACTATCACTCCGTTTTTATGTAGAAAGAACTGAGGTTTGCTTGTTAAACATTTTAACTCGGAACTAAAAAGACTAAGCCTCCCAGGTATGAGTGTTAGCATGCAATTGAAACAGAGCAGTAAAACAGCACCCCAACATATCACTGCAGTTTGAATCAAGACAAGGCTGCTAAATAAAACTCAGATTACAAATCACATTGAATCTAAACATTAAGTTACAGGCACTACAGTCACCTGATGGTACATGAAGTGCAGCTCATGAGCACAGATGTGGTTACAAAGGTACACAGAGTACTCTCTAATGAGTCATCTTCCCTATGCCATCTGATTTTACCTTTCCTGCATCAGAGGTGCTTGGTGTACAGCACTATCACGGAACGAGATGCCCTCCCCTTTTGGGAGGACACAGTAAAAGCACACTTTCCACATCAGCTTTAACTTACATTCATATCGCATTCTATGATGGACACAGCCTTATCTGGTTTGGTCTCCATTACCCGAAGCTCATAGATCTGAAACAGCAATTAGTATTTTAAGATGCACATGAAAGAGCTCAACTTAAACAGAAGAAAAGCGTATCTAAACCTTTCCCTAAAAACTGAAAAAAGTGCTCTTTAGATTGAGGACTGGATACCACAGGGTCTCTAATGAACATGAGAGCAAAGATTTTTAACTTAGAAGACTGCTATATTCGGGAGCTAGAGAGCCTACCTTTTACTGTACCTTGCTGCACTCTTACTGTACCTTAATCTGCGTTTTTGAAAGCAAATTATGAATTTAGGATAAATTCTGTCCCTTGACTTGTAAAAACATCAACGGCACAAAGATTTATTTTCTTGTGAGTCAAAAACCAGTCTAAACAGCAGCTCAGGAGAAGACTTAACTGACCCCTTTTTTTCTTCCAGTAGAAAATCCAACTGTGAAATCTACCATCTGGGATTACTTGCCAACAATAGTGCAGAGCTCTTGTGCTGGATGTTGGTACTAAAATAATCAACAACTGATCTTAGTCTACAATGCCAAGTGATCAAAAGTGCACATGCTGCCAGAAATACTCATCTATAAAACCTATTCACAAGATGTAGTCAAAGTACTTATGTGGCCACAATCTACTGAAATACAGCATACTTTTTTACATGGGGTAGAATTTATTTCCTCAAACTAATGTTACCTAAATTAAACTTGCATGGACTGGTGTTGTATACTGCACCTTTTCATTGTAGTTGATGGCAATAACATCCCCAGTAGTTAGACAAGCGAAGTTTCTCAATGCATTTTCTAATCTTTGGAGTATGTTAAGATGAAACATTTGTTTTCAATGCAATATCAAAGTTTTAAAGTTACTATGCTATAAAACTCCGATCCTCGGTCTCTCAAAGGTGGTTTAAAAGTCATCAGTACTGCAGACAGCCTTTTAGTAAACATTTGGGTGTATGAGTTCTTCTACAGGACACTTAAACTCATTGGACTTTAAGCTAAGATTCATGCTTCTTCGCTCCAGGCTACACTTTGTGCCAGCAGTTTGCAACATCTCTGTACATAAGTTCCCCATTGTTTTTGTTTTCAAAAGGAGCAGTAGTTATCTACTACTGGAAGAGCATGAACCATGCCTGAAAAGCTAGCTCTTCTCCCAAATTGGAGTGAGGAAGCAAACTTGTGTCCCCTGCTCCACAATTGATAGGAAGGATACACAGCTTTCGGATTGGTGATGTCCAGAAAATCTGGACTCTGTGGCTGAAATTTTGAGTAAGTAGCAACTTGAAGATTAACACTCTCCACTTGCACAAGGCCTCCCTCTTCCAGCAGCAAGTTCTGCATCATCTGCAACGATGAAAAAAAAAAAAAGATAGAAACCACTATCAACAAGACTGATGTTTCCAATTCTCTTTCCTTGAGTATACTTATTTTTGCTGGGGCAACCAGCTTCCTTGAAATGCACCAGTTTACTATGGTTTAATCCCAGGAGGAACAGTCAGGTACATCTTAAAAAGCAGTCTGTTCGCTTACTTAAACTCTAAGGGAGGGAACCCTGAGCTGACACTGAAAGCTGTTGTAGGAACATGATTAGCAAAGACATGCACTTTCCACCTGTTTAATATTAAACTGGCAACTCACTAATCCTACTCTTCAGGTTTTGACAGTTCAGCATGAGACAACTCACCCAGTGTGGAAGGTAACATATGCCCTCATCAGCCACAAATTCAAGCACTCCACAGTGAGTCATTCGGTCTGAATTTTTATTGGTCAGCTTAAACAGCATTGGGTAAGTAATATTAAGTCGGCCTGATGAGAAAGGAGAAAAAAAAAGTCTTTGTTAAAAGCCATTAACACATTTCTGAAGCTTTCAGAGATTGAACATTAGCAGGAGAATGAGCCAGACTGTAGGATAGGATTCCCCTCACACCATTGTTCTAATTGCTAAAAACTACAAAACCAGGAGAGAACGTAGATACACAAATACTGTACTACCATCGCACTTAGAGCTTTAACTGCCTCTCCAATATTTCCCTAAGCTCAGAGATGATCAGGCAGCAGGTATTAGCAGAGGAATCTATTACTGTTATGTCATTGAGCTATTATCAGTTAGCTCCTACCTAATGAATTTTAACAGGCTCTGCCTATTTTAAAATAAAATCCTGACTAAACTAATTTCTCAAATAAATTCTACTAAGGCTAAAACTCTGGCGGGGGGGAGAGGGGGAAGGGAAGGAGGAAACCCTTAGTTAAAAAGGCCAATAAAGGCCATTTATAGTATTGATTCAGTTATTTTTTTTCCCCCATTTCAAAGTTAATTATCATTTATTTTGTCTTTAAATTAAATTTTGCTCCAGACAACAGTATCCAGAACAAGCAGGTTAAGATTAAGAATTTACTAGATTAACTGTAACCGTTATATTCAGTATGCTATTAGTAGTTAATAAATATTGATTCATGCCTCAGGAAGCCAAACACTTCAGATGTCTGTACTTAAAGATAGACAAGCCCCATTAATTCCAACAGACAAAATACTTCCAACATACATTTTTTGAACTAATTAGTCTCCTATTCTCTATTTAAGTCGGATTTTAATAGATAACTCAAATACTGTGGTATTTGCTTACGCATTTGCTCATATTTCTAATGTTGTTATTCCAGAATAAAATATTCACTTACTGAGTTGATCCAAAGCCGATGGTGGCATAATTACTGCAGAAATGAATTAAGAATGTAAGATTAGGAAAAGTATGACTGTACAAAGAGTAGATAATATACACTTTTATCACTCTTTTCTCTAAAATTACCTCCAAAAAAAGGAGATTCTAAAATCTCCTGCAAATTAATTTCTGAGCCAGAGATTTCACTAGAATCAGTCATGACAAGTACACCTGCTAGCACTGAGACTTCAGAATTTAATCAGGAAAAATGAGAAGGCAAGGTTTTACAATACCTAGTACTAAAGAAAATGTTTCCTAAGGGCTTACAATACCTAGTACTAAAGAAAATCTTTCCTAAAGGTAATTTTATTTGTTTGGGCTTATAGGTGGTCTTTAATCGATGCCAACTCAAAACAACATAAGATTAAGTCTGACAGCCTGAAAATTAAATTGGCTGATCTCTTCTCCTTGTTCAAGCAAAGTGAGGTACAACAACGAGGGGAAAAAAGTCCTTAATCATAAATTTCCATGGCTCATAATGGGCCCAAGATTTTAACAAGAGACTTTAAAAAAACAGAATGTCTTCTTCTAATGCTCATAAACCAGGACTCACTCGGTAAGATTTTTAATTACACACTAATGTGCTAAAACCCTCCGCCTTCCTTCTTAAAGCCCCATCCGGGGTGCTCTTCTACCACAAAGCCAACAGTACGTCTCCATGCTGTTCAACAATGTTTCTGCAGTCTTGCCCAAAAGCTGTATTACTTGACATTATTCACAAACACTCTTCCAACAGGTTATTAGTCAAAATAAAACATGCACATACTCTTCCCGCCTTTCTCCACATCTGACCTGTCATTAGGTCCAGCAAGCATGGATACCGAGAAGCAGCGGTATTGGGTTGAGAAACGGTTCTGGAAAACCCGAGGGATGGGGTGATCAAACATATTAAAAGAGAACTAGAAAAAAACCAAAACAAAACACAAAGAACATATTAATAGGTATCGACAGCACACTGAAGTGTTACAGCACTCACTGAAGTCTCCCGAAGTTCAGCTACAACCACGCCTAGGAGCCGTACAGTTATTTCCCCGTCCACTGAGGCGCCCCTTGTTCACACAGCTTACGCGCTGCTTGGGCACAGATCTGTGCGCCAGGCGCTCCGTGGGGAGGCAGAAAATGGAAGCGACGCACTTCCAGGTTACGCTTCAAGTCAGGCTTGCCTGACCAACCGACCAGCACGGGCACGGGCGGCGCTCCGCGGAGGAGACGCCGGCACCCGTCGGCCGCCCACCCTCCTCCTGGCACTCCACACCGGCTCGCTGGCTTCGCAAACACGCTTCGCGAGCGAGCACCGGCGGGGTAACC